CTCTGATACAGCCTGCAGACCAAGACGAAGGCGCTGGACTGTTCTTTTTATTTATGTATCTTACGGGATTGCTTTGGACCCCGTGAACCGTTTTCGATTATTTGAAGATGGCACCTGAAAGATGGTCGGATACTAATTTGATGTACTTTCGATCATTGTGTCATAAAGAAATTAACGGTACACCTAATTTAGGGTTTACACCGGACAATACTGTCATGACAATGAAGATATACGTATTAGTTGTCAAAATTGTTCCAATGGAAAAGTATGCATGTATTAGTGAAAAAGTGTGCATGTATTGCTATTGTCAAGACAGTATTGTCCGATGTAAACACTAAGTAATGTTTATATGAGCATTGAAGTCGGTTTTGTTTATGATCAAGGAACGGAATTTTAGGGCCTAAAAACCTATAAAAAAGACAAAATAAAACAACGAAATAAGCTATAAAAGGCAAAATAAAATAGCGAAAGAGACAGCCACTAAAATAGACAAAAACCGAAAAAAAATCCATTTATGTTAGAAATGGTTATTTTACAAATAAAAACAGAAAAACTATGAACTAGTTTCATTATATGAACAATTTTTACTTCGAATTTTTGACTATTTTCCCCTTTCGAGTTTTTAACTCACAAAACTTTAGTCTCTATAGCTACGGTGACCATAAATATGGATTCAAAATGAAGGACAATTTTTGAAAAATATGCCTACATATATTTACGTAGTATAAAAATATCAAAAGAGTATTTATGATTCTAAATTCTTAATACATTTTAATCTTTAAAAATGAATCACGCTTTCTTCATCGATATTAATCTTTTTTTACATGAATATTTATAAAAGTTTAGTAAAACATATTATAATTACAATAGCCTACACGAAAAGTGAAAATCTTTAAAAGATTATTTCATAGGCAAGTTTTGAGTCGTTCAAAACGAAAACAATACCATTCTTTTTTTGTTTTTTGGTACTTTTCGCAGTTATTTGTCAAAAATCGACGTCATGAATCGACGTAAACGACGAGTTACAAAGTGCCCTTTACAAAAATATATAATTTGTGCAGATTGCGCTCCATAGCATCTACATTTCTAATCCGATTTTCATTATCTTTGGCTCAAAATTTACTGTAATGATATATCTTCTTTATCGAATTTTTAAAATAATGAAAAAAAAAACAAATAATCAAATCATTGAAGTCGCCACAAGTAATATATTTTGGTAAGAGGCACATCAATACCCTTCTAGCTGTAAGTCGCTTACGTTGATTGGGAGATTTTTTCATGAGATGTTGAAGAAAAGCTACGAAAAGTAGCAAAAAACACTTTTTTGAAAAAATCCATCCATTGTCCGATAATTTTAAAATAACGAATAAAATGCGGGACAAATGCAGGACACTTGGAAAAAATCAGTACATTTTCAGGATTTTTAGGTTAGAAAAAACAGTACGGTTCTGCAAAAAACAGAACAGTTAACCACAAGATGCATTTTGATCATGCTTTGGTTAATCGAGAGAAAGATCGGTACTGTTTAGTAAATGGCCCAACTATTTCGGGGTATTACGACCCAAGGGGTGACCCGATCCAAAAAATATTTCCACACACTTGTAGTGAAGGGTCTACACATTATTTTAACACCTACCTTTGTAATTTTCGGCCTTTTATTTATTGAGAAATTTGGGTTGAAATATGCCTTTTGTTAAATTCGGAAATTAGCGTACATTTATCACTCCTATTTTCCGTGCACTTTGGCGATGCGTCTTAACGCCAATAACAACAATTTGAGACCGGAAATTAACATTTTTAATTAATTAGAGTTATTTGCAAAAAACACTTGCACTTTCCGCACTATGTTTTGATGAATTTCACGCAAATGAATGGAATAAATGAACTTAATTTAACACGTATTTATTAGTTTTTATACATTTGTGATGTTTTAAGTGTACACTTTCGCGAAATTCTGTATTTAATAGCAATATTCCGATGGTGAAAATCCGCACAACAATCTTGCGTAGTTAAAATATGAATAAGATGGAGGAAAACTAGTGCTGCCACTCTATTAATACCAGGGACGTGAACCGGATGAAAAATTTGGTCGGTTCGGTTCAGCGGTTCGAACCGTTTTTGCACTTTTGGATTGGTTCGTCAAAGCGGTTTTTTTGGTCTTTGAACCGGGGTTTCGGTGTCAAGTGCAACAACGCGCAAGGTTAAGCGGTCTGTCAAATGAGATGGGTAGGCAACCCATTGATATTCTCACATGGTAAAAAAACATGGTAGGTATTACCATGTTTAACAAAAAGAAAAAATAGTGGGTACATTTATCAATTGAAAATTGGTTGAAACGAACCTTTAAACCTTTATGGAAAGTGGTTCGGTTTTCGGTTCGGATCAAACATTTGTGGAAAATTTCGGTTCGGTTAATGGTTCAGTTAATTAATAGAAAAAAGCGGTTTTCCGGTTCAAAACCGGTTCGGTTCAAAACCGGTTCACGTCCCTGATTAATACAATTTGTATTTCAACTTTAAAAACACCCAAATAATGCACAAGAAATATACTTTTGTGAAAAGGGGATTTCTGTACCTTTTCTTCGCACGCAGAAAGGAGAATTCTATGTTGTGAGGGTTATAATCCCTAAGCGCGTCCGAAGGCCGCCTACGCAGAAAGGTGTTCTCTGCAAAAGGTGTTCTGCCCCTTTTCTTTGGCAACACAGAAAGGAGAATTCTACGTTGTGAGGGTTATAGTCCCTAAGCGCGGCCGAAGGCCGCCTACGCAAAAAGGAGTTGGACGGACAAAAACTTTTTTAATAGAGTGGCAGCCATAGTTGCCAACTTAGTGCTTTAAGCACTAGATTTAGTACTTTTTGAAAATTAAAACGCCAAAAAAAAATTATTTAGTGCCTAGTGCCTTTTTTAGTGCTTTTTTTCTGAACTAAAACTACTTCGAGATAGTTAAAACCTGAAATAATCTGAAATATTTAAGGCTGTGGCAGCACTGAATTTACAAGAATCTACAAATTTAAATGGACTGAAGTACAACCATGATTGATAAAAAGCTGAAGTTGCAAACCCACCCTGTTAAATTCTATTCGCGTTGAAAATGCTAGTACGCAAGTAAGTTAAGTATGTATTTCTTTTTTTCTTTTCTAATTATTTGTACAAATTTTGTTTTTTTTACCACCTGAGTAAAACACATCGTTTCTTGGTGGATTCAGCAAATCTGGCCACACAATTGCTCTAGCACTAGAATTTTGAGATATCCTAACCTCAAAGTGCCAAAAACACGGTTTTTAGCGATATTTCAGGTTATATAATGAAAACATCAAATTATTTGCTCATTTCTAATTATTTTCGTTTGATGCGATTCGATTTTTCTTTCTCGAGATATACCAGTTTTAATGTGCACTACTTCAGTATTATGTTATGAAAAAGGCATCCCTTGATTCAAAAAAAAATGGTGCTTTTAGTGTGTTAAAACGCTTTTTTTCCAAGTTTTTGGTGCTTTTTGAAAATCAAAAGATGGCAACACTGGTGGCAGCAGCAATTTAATTCCATTTTATTTTGAATAGATTGGCAACACTAGTTTTCCTCCATGTTATTTATATTAACGACGCGAGATTGTTGTGCGGATTTTCATCATCGGAATATTGCTTCTAAATACAGAATTTCGCGAAAGTGTACACTTAAAACATGGCGAATGTATAAAAAGCAATGAATATGTGTTCAGTTGAGCTCATTTACTCCATTTATTTGCGACAAATTCATCAAAACATAGTGCGAAAAGTGCAAGTGTTTTTTGCGAATAAGTATTTAACGAATTAAAAATGTGAATTTCCGGTCTCGGATTATTGTTGTGCGCGTCGATTGATACCCCTCTTGATTTGTTTTTCATCAATATTGGCCTCCTTTCGCTAAAGTGCACTTTTACTGTCTAAAGATGAATTGCAATTTCGGTAGCGAAATTTTGCCAATTTTGCTCACTTTCAACATCTCCAGCAAATTTCAGTAAGCATTCGATTTATATTTCATTTGTCACTATTGTACGAATATTATTATGTTAATCCAGTTTCACGTGAAGTTTTATGTTGTTATAATAAGTTTTGCCACGATTTTATATCAAAAATGCCCATTTGATAAGGATTCCTAAAATATGCTATACGGCGACTATATTTTCTGCGTTTTGTGTACTCTGTAAATACTTATTAATTGTAAATGTGAAAATTTAGTTTCAAAACGTAATTTTCACTGCTTGTAGATTTTTTTCAAAAAATTGACAATACAGTGTTCTAATTTGTCAGTGCTGCCAGTACAAATATCTGCTTGCACCATCTATCGGAAATTAGTTGATCAAGAAAACACAAAACAGAACGTAAATTGCATTTATTCAGAGAACGTATATTTATTAACATCTGCACCTCTGTTTATTTTATTTATTGTGCTTACAGCCACTATTTAACTTGTTTTAAATGGTAATGGCACAGATTTAACTTATAAATTGCAAGAAAAGTGATTATAAACTTATAAAAGGCAAAGTCCTTAAACATTACATTTTGTACAATATGGATTTTTCAGACTTTGAGATTCGTAAAGTAAGTGCGCCCATACAAAATGTATTCAGGAACAGCATAGGAATATTTAGTTATTTCTTTTGCAGTGCCCGCCGACAGCAATCTACATTCCCAATTTTATAACTTCAGAAGAGGAGCAACATGTTTTTTCTCAGATCAGTAAAACTCCAAAGCCAAAATGGACACAACTACTAAACAGACGCCTAATTAATTATGGAGGAATACCCCACCCAAACGGAATGGTAGCTGAACAAATCCCTGAATGGTTACAAATTTATGTAGACAAAATAAATAATTTAAGTAAGTTTCAAAAGACAAAATACGTATGTACATACATATATTTAAATAAGTGACTAATTGTTTTCTTTTTATTGTGGGATAGATATGTTTGAGTCACAAAAGGCGAACCATGTACTTGTTAATGAATATTTGCCTGGACAAGGGATAATGCCGCACACCGATGGACCTCTCTTTTATCCGATTATATCAACTATCTCTTGTGGTTCATATACGGTCCTTGAATTTGTGAAACTACAGAAAAGTACTTCAGACGGCACACAGCCTGATTCGAAGCATTGTAACAGTAGTAATTATACACAGCAACCAGAAAATTTCAAATTGCTTTTAGAACCTCGTAGTTTATTAATATTAAAAGATTCATTGTACAGTGGGTATATGCACGCAATAAGTGAAGTCAAACAAGATGTCCTTTGCGACCGAATCTGCAACTATGAGAACTGTGAAACCGTTCATAAAATGGGAGATATATTACAACGCGGCACACGTATATCACTAACTATACGACATGTTCCAAGAACAACTAAAATGAAATTAAAATTTTGTTAATTCTCTTATGTATATGTAATTAATGCTATCTATATACATATAAACATTGCAACCAACTAAGCTAAAAAATAGCGAACACATTTAATGGAGGCGTCAGAACTAAAAAAAAAAACATTTTCACTTTGTTTTTAATTTTGCCATGTAAATTGTTACTTTTTGCTTGTATTTCTATGTAGAATTGCTCGATTATTCCGAAAAGCGAGTCAATTTTCTTCTATGGATACGTTTTCGAGATATTTTCAATTTACCTTTATTCAGCTTAAAACAACACTTAACCACGTATGTCTTATGAACCAATTTAACAATCATAAAATTAGACACGCCAAATCAAAGCCAATGAAATTCTCGATAAACCGTACATACACCACTTTCCGATAGGACTAATACTTTCTGACAAATTAATTAATCATTCCAGTTTTTTTATTTTTTAATGAAAAAAATTAAAAGAATCAAGCTTTAACAGAAGAAAAAATTAAAAAATTACAGGTTCCGTGCCAAATTTTTGTATTTGTGCTAAAGCCTGTTCTGTTACGAAGAAAGTCAAGTTACTAATGAAGAAAATCGATGGATAAATGAGAAATAATGAGTGGTCAAATGAAAATGCGCAACGACTTTTTGTATGAAATATGAGCGGAAAAGCGTGTGACTCAGGTGTACGTGGCGTATGAGTAACCTTTTTTCCAGCTAATTTTTCATACAAAAAATCTGTGCGTATTTTCATTTGACCACTCATTACTTCTTCATTTATCACACGCTTAACTTTTTTTTTTTAACTGAACAGGCAACAATTTGGCACAGCACCTGATATTTTTAAAATTTTTTCTGTTAAAGTTTAATTTTTTTTTCATTTTTTCATTAAAAAAAAAAAAACTGGAATGATTAATTAATTTGTCAGAACCTATCAGTCCTATCGGCAAGTGATGTATATATGGTTTATGGAGGATTTTATTAGCTTTGATTTGGCGTATCTCAATTTGTGATTGTTAAATTGGTTCATAAGATATACGTGATTAGGTGGAACTACTTTTTGTTTTAAGCTGAATAACGGTAAATTGCAAATATTTCGAAAACGTATCCATAGAAAAAAAATTAACTCGATTTTCGGAATGTTGAAATTGGATAGTAAAATCCATAGAAGATTTTTGCCGTAAACCAGTGTAATTATATGAGTTTTTTATCTTTTTTTCGTCTCGTGGGACGTTTATTTTAAGATGGAAATGATTTACCTCTTCTCTTAATAATTATATAGGACTTTTATTTTTTCGTCTCGTGGGACGTTTATTTTAAGATGGAAATTATTTACGTCCTTCTCCGAATAATTATAAGGGACTTTTACTGAAATGAGACTTGTTTGAGACTGAAATTGAGAATGTACGTGTGAGATTGAAAATTTGAAAACATTTTTGTTAGGTTAGCAAACTTCAAAAATGTTCAGGCTGCCTCTCAGCGGTTTTACCTTTAAATTTTTGTATCATGATTCGTGAATTGTGAGTATTATCAACGGCCTTGTCACTTTGATAATCTGAGTATTTTCTTTCCCATATTTATACCAATGTAATAATGTTTCAAATCAAAAACCATTATCAGTGCTTGTTATTTTTTTTACTTACATACGTAGCTCGCACTAATTTGTTATTTTTTCGTTGTCTTATTTTAAATGTAATCTTGCGATTTAATAATCTAATTCTAAAGAATGTTCTTCCCGTTTTATATTTTAATTAAAATTTACTTTTAAATTTCTCATCAGATTTTACAAAAATTAGGCTTTGTGATTAGCAGGGAATGGATTTTTAGGACCTAAAAACCTATAAAAAAGGCAAAATAAAATAACGAAATGGGTTGGAAAAGGCAAAATAAAATAGCGAAAAAGGCACTAGGTATTGCAAAAAAGCAAAATGAGGCACTAATTCCCTTTTTTCTTGTAAGCTTTACAACGCCTTAAACATCTTGTGAATCCCCTAATTGTTATTAAAAACAAGAAATCTATTTAAGTGGCGAAAAGCAAAGAAAAGTGCTCTATATCTCGAAGCTCCCTCAAAAGCGGATTGTGCGATTAATCAATTAATATGAGTTATAATAAATTTAATAATTGCGCAGTCCTATTGCAAAATACGTTGAAACGAATATTTTTAAAAAGTATGCGTATCTTTAAAGAAAATTATTTGTACATCATACCCTCTGAAGGTATTATATTCTTTTTTGGTTTTAAAAACTATATTATAACATCTCATTTTTTAAATAAAAGATTTGTTATACCGATTTCATAAATTTTATTTAAAAAATAATAATTGGCAATTTTTGGCGATTTTTTTCAGAAATTGCGCTTTTTTTAAACAATCTGGACACCCTGGTCCGGGACCCTTTTGTGGGTTCAGCCATAGTGATGTGCTGAATTGCCGGTACGTAATACTTTCTTTTCGGTACCCAATACCGATACCAAGAAAAATGCTGTGACGGATGGAGAAGCCTTTCAGGCCTACAAAGATATCATCGTCCGTTTCATCTAAAAAAATGTTTCAAGTGAGAAATTGTGGCGGAAAATGTATGTACGAGTATATATATTTTTGATTTGAATCAGCATTAAAAGCTTTACTAGCTCCTACACTATGCTTTTGATTGACTAAGCTCTACCGAACCACTTTTATTTTTGTTCTGTATGCGTTCCTGTTGAAAGCCTAAACATTTCGGTACCGAGTATCGAAAGTATTGGATACTTTTTAAATCGGTAACGAGTATCGATCAATACTTAAAATTATCAAGTCAGCACATCACTACTCAGCATAGCGCACCTAGAGGGCATCATGAATAACTGGGTAGATAAAATGTTCAAAAAGGTCCATCAGGTCCATCAAAAGAAGCTTCAACGAAACTACGTAACTTAGGCAGAGAGGTCCTTAAAACTCTCACTGGGTACCACACCCTTGGTTACCACCTCAGTAAAATTAATCTTTCTGAAACAAATGGCTATCAGCCAGAACACATTCATTGTGAATGTGACGCTCTTGTTAGGAGCAGACTTGCTCACTTGTGTAGTGCTGCACTTAATACGATTGAAATATGGAACAAAACGCCCCTGGAATTGCTAGGCTACATCAAAAGCCTTCCCATATATGGCGGAGGGTCACGCACAATAGATAACTTTAGACCCACTGGTGGTGGCAGAGGAAGATGGAGGCTCCCACTGCATTGGAAAGACCAGGTTTAGAAGAACTTGACTTCACTTGGCATTTCCGATTGGCGGCAGTTGGCACAGACGGCCGTAAGATGAAATCATTACCACTACGGTGTTCCAGGCAAGGTAATTGGACCGGAGCCATTTTTTGGCTCAAGCATAGCGAGAAAGATCGGATGTATCAAGTGTCTTATAAATAAAACTCACGAGAGCCGTTGGTGTGGTATTGACACCTGCAAAACAGCGAAGTGTTTCCTGAAAACGCCTGTGACAATATTCCTTCTCAGACAAAAAAGTAGTGAACTACGGGGCACAATCCATTGGTACGAATCCACTCTGTACATCTTGTTTGGAGGATATGGATAGTACAAAACATTTTCTCTGCCGCTTCCGGGCCTTCGCCAGATTTAGGGATTGGATATATTGAGAATGGGTAAGATACAATATCTTTTCCCCAACAAACTACTGCTTATTCATAAAATAGTCTGCAGGGGAGCAATGAATATATCCTTTTTCTCTAAATCCTGTCACTATTTTTCTTTTGTTTATTTGATGTTCATTATTTTTCCATAAACGTGTAGCTCACCACACCACCAACCAACACCACCAACACCACATAAATCCAGATTTCAAACTTTGTGCAAAAATTATGAAAAATCTGCAAAGTTTCAGCTAGATTTTCAACTATTCCATACAAAAAAAGAGAAAAATCTCGAACTTATTTTGTACGGAAAAAAATTTGTAATGCAATCAGAAAAAAAAAATTATTAAAAATCAAAGCGATTTTTTAGCAACTTAAGACTTGCACATTATTGCACTAGAATTTAATGGGTTATTAAACTGCATACTCAAAAAAATTCTAAAAAATCTGAATAAAAAGTTAAAAATTTAGCTGAAACTTTGCATATTTTTCATAATTTTGGAACAAAGTTTGAAATCTGGATTAATATGGTGTTTGTTATATAATGAGCTAGACTTTTATGTAAAAATAATAAACATTAAATAGAAACGAAAGCAAAATAGCCAAAATTGATCAAAATGTAGCTGGCTTAATTAGCTGATCACAAGTGTAAGTGTTTGGAAAAATCGTATTCGGATTTTCCGGCCACCCAAAATTCTATGCTAAACTATGTATCGACAATCTAAACCGTTGATGGTTGTCGATGGTTTGCCAACCCTAATACAAACATACAAAAAGATGAAATGAATTAAAATTCAAAAGATTTAAATAAGTTTTATTCCCTAAATGAAAAAGTGATTACATGTACATACATACATACATACATATGTGCGTACTACATACAATACGTATTAAAAAATATTTTAGACTTATGACGCATATTTATAATAGTCTCTTAATTTGACTTACGGAGCGGTAGAAAATTTTTAACTTAAGAGCTACATACACACATTATTTATCTTGAAGAATATTGAACAAATTTTGGCATTTTGCATGAAGCGCATAAGTATGTACACTTATCCATAAAAATAATATTCCTGTACTGACTAGTAATAAATAACTTAGCAAAGCACTGATAAATGTCTAATAAGTTCAAATATGCTTTTTTTAAATATTAGTTGACTGCCTTTTTATTTTTATTTATAAAATGGAACCAATATATTAAAATCTATTAAAATTAAGTACACTTATTTATGCATATGTAGGTACATGCATACTTATATTTATTTATGAATTTTATGCAATTTAATTAAAAAAAAAAAGAACTAGCATATTACTTTCCATAAATTGACTAATGTGCATTTTCGGCTGAAGAGTTCACACAACTTACCGTACCAGAACAGTTCACCCATACAATAAAAAAAAAAAAACAGACGCATTAAAAGCGCATAGAGAAATCTACTGGTTAAGCTTTGCTTTAAATTTTTATATCGGAGTAATTTAAGTAGCTACCGTCTGGCAGGGTAGTTATTAAAATAACATAATGGAAATGTGTGGGGGGGGAAAGGGGGGCGGGGTATGCTTACAATATACATTTTATGTATCGCTTGCAAGATTGCTGGTTATGATTTCTTTGAAACAGCAACTATTCCTGTGGAAGACAGTGATCCCTTGTTGTGTTTACATATTCAGTATATACAAGTCGTATTTTCTTAAATAAATCTTATAAGTATACATACATATATCTTTATCAAAGTTACGAAAATCTAGACTTTATTATTCTAAGGGCTTACAAACTACATAACATCAAAATTTTATAGACTATTACGAGCTCTTTTCTATGGATAAATTGTATATGATATATGTATATATGTATGTATGTATACATATACATATGTGTGTACATACACCCATATGTAATAAATGCAAGAGGGTAGATAGATAGTTGACCAGCCCCAGATACTCTAAAAATTGTATAATAGATCCCGGGGGTAGTGAGTGTGTGTGTGCTCCTCTCTTGGCCACATGTGCCCTATGCTCCTATTTCTCCGGCGTGCAACGGCCTCACGCTCCACTAGAAGGTGTAAAGGGGTCCCCTTGCCCGTATCGCAAAAGCGACACAGGTCGCTGGACCAGATTGCTAGTTTTTATTAGTGCCCTCTAAGCCTTAATAACCTATATCTTATCAGATTGTAACCTCCTAATATGCTTTTTGCCTGACGTAGAGTACAGTTTCCTTAGTTTGGTATTTTCCTTTCTGAGAATTTCCTTTTAGGTGTTGGGTCCCACTGCAAGGTCTCAGGTCCTATCGGTGTCGAGGCAGCGGCCATTCTGGCCAGATGGTCAGCTTCCTCCTTAACAGTGACCCCCATGTGGCCTGGTACCCACATCCGTCTAATCTCATTAACCTCTGCCAGAGCATTAAGCCTCTCTACACACTCTAAAACCAAGGAGGGCGCTTGATCTCGAATGCTGAGAGAGCCATAAGTGCCGCCTGACTATCGCTTAATATAAGTATCCTTTCGTTCCTATAATTCCTGCGAATGTTAACCTCAGCACACATACTAATGGCGTAGGCATCTGCTTGAAAGATGCTAGGAAACGTACCCAGGGGCACCGAAGGTTTCAACCTGGGGCGGTAGACGCCCGCTCCAATCCCCTCAGTTGTTTTGGAGCCATCAGTGTACCACTGTATTGTGCTCGTCTGTTTGTGACTCTCCATAAAAGAGGTACAACAGGTCGCCTTGTTGTAGGCAAAACAAAGCTTAAGCCATTTCTGGTGACCGAAATTTTTCTCCGGTGAAATTTTTCATTTCATACCAATTTTGACCTCTCAAAAAAAATTTCGAGTTTTTTGAAGTTTTCAAGGCTTTTTCCCAGTTTAAGGGAAACCCGTAAATGGAGAGATCTACACTATTACTCCAGCTCCGAAGAAGCTTTTTTATGGCAGAAGTACACTCGGAGGTTTGCAATTGTTTGTCGAGGGGCGATCGCTATTTGAAAAACCTTTTTTGATGTTGCTGGAACCAGAAATTGAACCATTGAACTCCCGAATGGCAGCAGGTACATCTAAACACTCAGCTACGGCGGCAAGAGCACTATTAAAGTCCGAAAAAAAACGTGCAAACGTGAATTTTCAGTGATTCTTATTTAATTTGCTTTTGATCTAAAGAAAAACTTTGAACTTATGGAATTTTGCCTTTTGATTGCCCTTTCTATTTTTTTGGTGTTGGATTCTAAGTTAAAGGGAAAGGGTGAGAAAATTGTGTGGCAAATAATTTTTGGTCATTACTTCATAAGCATTTTAACTGTATGAAAACTATGTAAAATAAAACCGGTTTACCCGGTTTTTTCGCAATTTCAACAGAAGGAACAGAGGGCTTTTTTAAATTGCAGTTTTTCGAATAACTTGAAAACCGGTTTTGGAAAAAAAGAATAATCGAATACCCTAGTACACACTCATCGTAGTTTAAAGTACAAAACCATGTATCGCGGTTCTGTAAAACCTCGTAACTGACATTTGTGCGAAAATAGAGAGATTTGCTCACCGGAAGCTCCGGACATCAAGCCTTATCTATTAATACCCAAATATCGATATTTAGATATAAAACGTAGCGATAATTAGGGATACAAGAGCGAACTGTGTTGAAATAAGACAAGTTTTACTGTCTCCTGTAAAATTTTGGCAACCTCACATACGAGGTTTTGCATTCTTTAATTCTTCTTTAAAAACGACGATATGTATCTATATTTACTTAGCTATAGCTACATATACCTATATATTTTGCTAAATATATTTACAGAACAGAAGACAATTCATGGTTTTGCTTATGGATTCATACATACATGCATACATACATACGTACATACATACATACATATGTACATATCGCCACCTGAAATGCAAAAGGCCGTAGCTAACAAAAAAAATCTTAAGTTTTCTTATCAAATCGGATTATGCAAACAAGTAATTTTTAGCAAAAAAAAAACCGACTTCAACTCTCATATAAAAAAAAAATATATATATATATATATCTCATGATCGGATCTTAACCAGATTAATATGGGACTACCTCTGAGACACTACCTTTCCGATGCAAAAAGAATTATCGAAATCGGTTGACGTGGTCCAAAGTTATGCGGTAACATACATAAAAAAAAAAAAAAAAAATTTCCGTCGAACTGATAACCTCCTCCTTTTTTGGAAGTCAGTTAAAAATACATTTTCTTAGTTACGGCTGTTTGCATTTCAGGTGACGATATATGAATGTGACGACTGCCTTAAATATAAAAAAAAAAGTTCATAGAAAATGAAACTCGAATAGAGCAAATAATTTGCCGGGATAAAACAAAACCCAAGTATGTATGTAAGTACATAAATATGTATAAGTTTGATTTTTGGATTTTGCCTTATATCTAATGAAGGATACTAAAACATACAAAAAAAAAAACAAAATATATTCGGCTATAAAAACGAAAGCTAACTACCAACGTCCGGGATGTCACCACTTCCGGTTCGTTGTAAACTTCTTCCGTTGTTTGTGTTGCTGTTACCGACACATCTGCTGCTACTTTTACAGTCTTTATTTTCTATTGGTTCAATAGTATCAGTATCAGTGTTGCCGCCAGTCACTTTGTTCGGAATTCTAGGTCCACTGGTCTCATTCTCATTATTTGTTTTCTTTTCAATGGGATTGTTACTGTTCGCATCACTTTTATAAATATTTGCGCATATTTGTAGCGTGAGGGCGGCACAGCTACTGCTGCTATCATTATTGCTGCAGAAACTCGCTTGGCGCTGTTCCTTTACGTGTTGTTGTTGTTGCGTTGGGCCTTCTTGCCTCTTCTCTTCTTGGTTTTGCTTTTCTTTGTGATTTGTATCGGAGATGCCGGTAGTACTTCCAGATTCTGTCGATGATTCTGCTGCTGCTGACGTTGTGCCTCGAGGGCTTGCTGCGTCCGTCTTGGTCGCCGTTTGCAAAGCTAGCACTTGCCGTGCCTGCGTAAGGCATGCGACACACGGGCAGGGTCCGCCTAGCTTTTTCGCCAGCATCGAACGTAATTTTAACGCAGGCCCTAACTTCATGCCCAACGCATTCAGCAAATGATCCTCGGTGAGCAGAGGCAACCCGCTGCCATCGATGCATTGATCACGAAAGTGCTGCAAGAAAAAGTAGAAAAATAATAGTATGTAGCTGTTCAGCAACAAGTATTACGGGTTTACCTAGGTAAAGATTCGATAAATCGAGACATAATTGTCTTGTCTTCGAAAACCTTAAGCAAAATTTATAAGGAAACCAATTAGTTCCTATCAGAAAGTGCGCTTTTGTAACTGTTTTTGAAGAAATGGTCGTCGCCACCACTATCCAATTTGTATGTAAACCCCTCCCTGATTCCAAAATTAGAGTAAATTTTTTTTCTTTATGGATACGTTTTCGAGATATTTGCAATTTACCGTTNACCGCTCGCTGATTCCAAAATTAGAGTCAATTTTTTTTCTTTATGGATACGTTTTCGAGATATTTGCAATTTACCGTTATTCGGCTTATGAAAAAGAGTTTCGACTTAATCTAGCATATCTAACGAACCAATGGAATAATCGTAATACGAGGTACGGAAAATGAAAGCAAATAAAATTTCCATAAACATTTAAACATCACTTTTCAATAGCCCTGATAATTTCTAATGGTGATTTCGTTTCTACCAAAAAATGTCGCCTTTTGATTGCCCTTTTATCTTTTCTTGTTCGATTCTAAATGAAAAGCAAAGGGTGAGAAAATTGTGTGTTCGTTTCTTAAAATGTCACACTCCTGTACGGCAAATAAGGCACCTTTTCTGCCCTTTGAAGCTTTGTCAGGGGAGATGGTTGCCCTGAAAATCAGATGGTTGCTTAAAACAATAATATGATGAATTGATTGAATGATCTGGACAAGGACAAGAAGGCAAAACATGCATTTTCAAAGGGGGGTTGAGTGTAACATCAAAGACATTTTGCACCGTGCAAGGGCAACACATTTTTTGGTAGAAATCACCATAAGGTGAACGAAATCAAACTGTATCAGGGAAAAATAACATATTCTGTGTTAATATTTTGCACTTATTTTAAATCTTGTAAAAAAATGAAGCTACCAATAAAGAAAATCGATAGATAAATAAGATAGTAATAATTGGTCAAATGAAAATGAAAATGCGCAAGGAATTTTTGTATGAAATATGAGTAGAAAAGAGTGTTACTGATACCCCCCCACGTACACCTGAGTAGGCAGAGTGTTTGCATTGAAAGCAAGAGATGTCATAAATGATTAATTAATTTCTCAGAAACTATCAGGGCTATCGAAAAGTGATGTACATACGGTTTATGGAGAATTTCATTAGCTTTCATTTTCTGTATCTCGTATTGCGATTATTTAATTGGTTCGTAGTTCGTTTTTAAGCTGAATAGCGGTAAATTGCAAATATCTCGAAAAGTTATCCATAAAAAAAAATATCACAATTTTCGGAATCACCGAGCAATTCTACATAGGATAGTGGATAGTGGCATCTATAGAGCATTTTCGCTGTGAACCAGTGTAATCTGTTAAGTGTGCGCATCAGCTCGAACGTCCGAACTCAGATGCGCTGTGCGCCTAGCGTAAAAATATTTACTTATTTTTTATAGTTTCAAGAAAAGTTCCATGATAAATTCGGCTGTGAATTAATGTATACGTGAATATTAGACCACCTAAAAAAAACCTCCATGAATTTTCCCTCTCTACGATAATTCTTAGAGGTCGCTCGTAAGAAAATGAATTCCTCTCTTTTGAGTTCATCATAATTTTCTAGGATCAATGAGAACGCTGCAAACTATAAGAATGATTAAACTCCATTTGAGAGTTATGCAGGCTCAAGATCTTTAAATTTTAACATTTTTTTCCAAATGTAATTGCCCCGCAAATGCTGTCATTCTTAAGTCGACCCTTTTTCAAGTGAAATTTGTTTACTACTAAAGTGACAAAGTGTGTGGTTTATAAAAGTGATATTATATATTTCTACGGATTTCCGGAGAACGGTTATAAGCATCTCCCGTTTACAAGTACCAGAAAAAATGATAGAAAATTTCACCTAAAAGCCTAAAATACAATAGCGCAGTGGCAGTGGCAGTAACAGTTTTTAAAATCAGCTGTTACTTCAAATAGGTACGTTCGTTTAAAATCTCCAGTAAAAAACATCCAACAGCAAAATTCCCGCGAAATGTCATCTGTTCTCTCATAAGAGAAAAAATATCCAGAATAGTACGCGAACAGAAAATTTGCAGAAACTTGCAAGTTAGACGAACAGCTGATCGAATTTTCATCACAAGGTGTTATCCTGACACGGTTTATTGATTAAATGAATAACTACTTAGTTCTTACAAGTTTGATTAGTCGAATTTTATCACTTTTGACTTCGAAACCATCAAATTCAATTAGCGATTTGCGTAAGTCCTACCGGCTGTTTTTGATCAGCGGTTTTTGCTGTTGGCACAAATTTTTCCAGCAGAAACTAACAGCGAACATAGTCAATTTTTTAAATTATTTAGGGTGGAAAACAAAACAGGACCTAGACGTATATTTCTTCTTATTGTGACTTTCTTCAACATACGCTTCAATTTGTTTGTGGAAGTCACTGTCGGATTTCCTATATCGACAGTGGTGTCGACTGCGTTCCGATTACGAATACTGCTTTTTCAGCCGAGTACCTTTCTAATGTTTGGAATTAATTAAATGAATTGAATAAATACATATTTACATACTTCTTTCATTAGTCAATCACAACAAGATTGTTCATTTTTAAGTTTAACGAACTTGTTGATTCAAATTAACGTTGACCAAAATGCAACCGTGTGCCACAATCCTGCTTGCAAATTCTTACAGGCAAAAATTTTCCCAGCACGAATTTGCCACTTCCCCTTCAAATGAAATGTGAAAATTGTGCTCTCTCCATGCAAGTTTTACTGGGTTTTTGGCCAAACGAACACGATTTGGTAACAATTGGTACCAACTTGTACAAGTTTTTTTGAATAGCGAACACTCTTAGTATTGGCAGTCTCTGCCGCAGCAAACAATACGGTGTTGTCAGTGACTGCTTTTTTTTGACATTCCCTTTTGTTTGTTTACATTTTTGTTGCTGCCTTTTAGGCTTCAGTGACATATAAACAGAAGTTGGCTGCGTTTCATTTATGTCAAATTCAACATGCGAAGTTTGCTGCGATGAAGGCAGAGGCAGTGAATTTAGAAGTTGGGCTAAACTGAGCAATACTGCTAGCTGCCACTGCTGTATTAGCTTCGTTCCCACGCTTTCTGGGCTGCTCCGGTAATAAGAGAGAGTAAAAATAAGTTACTCTCTAACAAGTGCCAAAAATGTCAAAACACCACTTTTCGTTCCCGGAATCAACATATCAGCTCTAAACAATGATTTTACGTGTATTTATCTTATATGGCTAATAAATTACCAAATAACTATAATTTCTGAAAATTCAGTGATATTTTCCACTTTTGTTTTTATAAAATTTGCTTTCGGATTTAAACAACAACAGCAGTTATTTCAAACTGCCCTTTCGCACATTTGTGCCCGGAGATAAAGTCCGGGCTGTTTCGTGCACAAAGAAGAAGACATTTACGATCCAAAAGTGGAACGTATTCGCTCTCTATTACCGATTTTTCTAGCGTGAGGAACGCTTTCTGGGCTNATCAGCTCTAAACAATGATTTTACGTGTATTTATCTTATATGGCTAATAAATTACCAAATAACTATATTTTCTGAAAATTCAGTGATATTTTCCACTTTTGTTTTTATAAAATTTGCTTTCGGATTTAAACAACAACAGCAGTTATTTCAAATTGCCCTTTCGCACATTTGTGCCCGGAGATAAAGTCCGGGCTGTTTCGTGCACAAAGAAGAAGACATTTACGATCCAAGAGTGGAACGTATTCGCTCTCTATTACCGATTTTTCTAGCGTGAGGAACGCTTTCTGGGCTGTTTTGGGCACCCACGGGTACCCGCGGGCTCGTNCGCACATTTGTGCCCGGAGATAAAGTCCGGGCTGTTTCGTGCACAAAGAAGAAGACATTTACGATCCAAAAGTGGAACGTATTCGCTCTCTATTACCGATTTTTCTAGCGTGAGGAACGCTTTCTGGGCTGTTTTGGGCACCCACGGGTACCCGCGGGCTCGTGTGGAACAAACCTATTGTGAATCGCTTCATTGGACACCACACTTTCTAAAAAAAACAGCTGATTTCGAAAAACTGCCGCTGCACTGCGTTATTGTATTTTGGGATAAATTTTAAGGTGCACGATATAAGCATTCCGCTTATAAGCATTTTCCGCTAACGCGCACCGAAAAATTGGTAATTTTCTTGCGTATAAGCACTGAAAATTAATTTTAATTGATTACTGGCATAAGCAAGGAGTATTAAACAAGGTGTGATTGACAACTCAAGGCGGCTCTCTTCTGACAACAAGAAATATTCTGAATATTAAAGGTAGTAAATCAGGGTCTNATACTGCTAGCTGCCACTGCTGTATTAGCTTCGTTCCCACGCTTTCTGGGCTGCTCCGGTAATTAGAGAGAGTAAAAATAAGTTACTTCTAACAAGTGCCAAAAATGTCAAAACACCACTTTTCGTTCCCGGAATCAACATATCAGCTCTAAACAATGATTTTACGTGTATTTATCTTATATGGCTAATAAATTACCAAATAACTATAATTTCTGAAAATTCAGTGATATTTTCCACTTTTGTTTTTATAAAATTTGCTTTCGGATTTAAACAACAACAGCAGTTATTTCAAACTGCCCTTTCGCACATTTGTGCCCGGAGATAAAGTCCGGGCTGTTTCGTGCACAAAGAAGAAGACATTTACGATCCAAAAGTGGAACGTATTCGCTCTCTATTACCGATTTTTCTAGCGTGAGGAACGCTTTCTGGGCTGTTTTGGGCACCCACGGGTACCCGCGGGCTCGTGTGGAACAAACCTATTGTGAATCGCTTCATTGGACACCACACTTTCTAAAAAAAACAGCTGATTTCGAAAAACTGCCGCTGCACTGCGTTATTGTATTTTGGGATAAATTTTAAGGTGCACGATATAAGCATTCCGCTTATAAGCATTTTCCGCTAACGCGCACCGAAAAATTG